CGGGCACATGGACATCAACGCCTCTGAGCAGATCATGATCGAGCAATTGTCCGAACATGGCGTGGTTCCTGGAGACCTTACACCAGCACTGATGCAGAATGCTCGAGTAAAGAATCCCGCAGCCGAAGATGCCGAGACGGTAAACGAATCAGACTCTGCCAGACCGTCTATATCGTCACCGCGCCCGGAATCACCCGCAGAGAAGTCAAAATTGAAGAGGGCTTCGACGATGGAGTCGCAAGACGATCTGCAAACGCCGCCTCCCCCGCCGTACCAGGAGCACCAGGATGACGATTTTGATTATCCAGAAGTCAGGTCGCCGTCACAACTTCCCACTAGTAAGAACCTGGATATCGATTTGCGGTGGACCGTCCTGTGCGACCTATTCTTGGTACTCATCGCCGACTCTGTCTATGATTCACGTTCACGAGAGCTGTTTCAGCAAGTGGGGCAATATCTCAGCGTAGACTGGCTGGAAGCTTGTCGCTTCGAAAAGCGTGTCACCGATGCTTTGGAGATGCAGGAGCAAGCAGACAAAGAGAACTGGAACGAGGATGAACACATGGTCAGCCGAGCTAAGCGGGCACGCAACAAGCGATTGGCATTCATGGGTCTTGCAACTGTTGGCGGTGGTCTGGTCATTGGATTGTCTGCTGGACTTCTTGCTCCAGTCATTGGTGCCGGTCTCGCTGCAGGCTTTACGACAATTGGTGTGGCAGGTACGAGTAGTTTCCTAGCTGGTGCTGGCGGTGCCGCTATCATTACATCGACTGGCGTAGTCACGGGTAGTACTGTCGGCGTGCGAGCCATGAACAGGCGAACAGGTGCTGTCAAGACGTTCGAGTACCGTCCGCTTCACAACAACAAGAGAACGCATCTCATCATTACGTTGGCAGGCTGGATGAACGGAAAGGTTGACGATGTTCGTCTTCCGTACAGTACGGTCGATCCCATCATGGGCGATATATATTCCGTGCTATGGGAACCTGAGATGCTGAGGAGTATGGGTGACACAATCAACATCCTTGCCACTGAAGTGAGTTTATTTATGCAAACTGCAAAGGTGCTTACTGACCACAACAGGCTCTCACACAAGGTCTCCAACAAGTGTTGGGAAGTACCGTCCTTACAGCTCTCATGGCCGCCATGACACTTCCCCTGGCCTTGACCAAGCTTTCTTACCTTATCGATAATCCGTGGATCGTTTCGCAAGCACGAGCAGACATGGCTGGACTGATTCTCGCAGACTCACTCATCGATCGCAACTTAGGGACACGACCTGTCACCCTGGTCGGGTTCTCGTTAGGCTCAAGAGTCATCTTCTCATGTCTGAAAGAACTTGCGAATCGAGGGGCGTTTGGTATTGTGCAGAACGTATACATGTTCGGTACACCGGCAGTAGCCAAGCATGATGAGTACATCAGGGCAAGATCTGTCGTACCGGGAAGGTTTGTCAATGGGTATGCTACCAATGACTGGATCTTGGGTATGTCGCACATGTTTCTTCTACTCGTTGTCAGCTGCTAACAGTTTGTCCAGGCTACCTTTTCCGTGCTACCAGTGGTGGTGTAATGCGCGTAGCTGGTCTCGCGCCTGTCCAGATCCCGACCATCGAGAACGTAAACGTGACCGAGTTGGTCCCCGGCCACATGGCCTACCGTGCCGCCATGCCCAAGCTACTCCGCGAAGTTGGCTGGCTGGTTGAATCCGACGAATTCGCCGAGATCGAAGACCCAGACCCCGAGAACCACGAAATCCGCCAGCGTGAGCTCATCAACGAGATCGAAGAAGCGCGAAAGGACCTGGAGAAGAAAGCACAAGAGAAGGAGAAGAAAGGCGGCAAACTAAGCTGGTGGAAGAAGAAGAAGGCCGACAAGAAAGACTGGGAAGTCTACGACGAACACTCCACCGCCGCTCCGCCAGGCCACCGGAAGCTAGACGTAGACCAAGACCCAGCGAAACTCGCAGAGAACCAGGTCATGTTCGACATCGACGCAATCAGAAAGGAAGTAGCAACTCTCGCCGCCGAAAGCAAAGAATACAACGCCGAAGCCGAATTCGAGATCAAAGAGATCAAGAGCACGCTCCCACCCATGAAGATCGACATCGCAACCGTATCCCCATCCCAGACAACAAGTCCATACTCGACGCTTAGGGAAACAAAGAGCTACAACGACAGTCTAGGTATACCAAGTACAGATGCCAATAAATCTTCTCCTTCATCCAACGGCCACTACGACGAATACGACGAATTCGATGACCCCGGCGCGGGTCAAATGGAAATGACATTCGACACCTCGTTCCGCGACCCCCCGTCCTCCGCTACAACATCGAATAAATACCCCCTCCCCGCATCACCCTTACCCTTACAACCAAGTCGCTCCGGTACATCCTCGCCCTGGGACTCGGGCACACCCAGTAGTAACAACAACTCTGGTACTATTACTGCCCAGCCTTGGAGTTCAGATGCTACTGCTGGTCAGCCGTCATGGGAGGATGCTGCAGGCCCTGCTGAACGTCCCCCGTTGCGCTCAGCGAAGACGGAATCGCATGCGAGTAGTTTGGGTCCTGCGCAGTCTACTGGTGATCTGGGACATAATGCTTGGGCGGATGAGTTTGAGGATGATTTTGGGCAGGAGAAGGAGGTTAAGATGAGTTTTATGTGATGGGAGGGGATAGGAGGTATCCCTTTCTGGTTAATGTGGCGTATTGGGCTGGTTGATGTTGTTACGCGTTTGCTGTTTTGTTTTTGGCGCGCCTTGTTGCATATTTCAGCGCGCATTATGGAGTTTGAATGTCGTTATGTAGTCAGTAGTAGGCGTTTGTATTACGTGCGTTGGGTTGGGAGATGTTGTTTGGCGTAGGCATTGGGTGGGTAAGCGATTGGGTAGTCGTTTCTTGCTCATTGCTTGCGTAGGTGTCATAGATAGTAGATAATATCAATAACAACATATACCATGCATGTTGACCATTTGGCACAAGTTTAGTCAAGTTATGTGTCATTATTCGTAACCTACTAAAAACTACTCGTATATCGTACACGGCTCCTATCGAGCCCCCATATGCGGCGCAAACTATGATATACCATGAATGTACGTCATCTATGCGCTAACACCGTCGAACGCAAAACAGAAAGGAAAAACAAGGACGCTCAATATGCGTCAGTATGCCATGCGTATGTATACAATTTCGAAAAGCCGCTCCAAACGGAATGGGTATCAAGCCGTTGCGTGTGCGTGTGGAACCTCGGAGAAACGCTTGGAGCGTGGGAAGAGCGAGATCCCCTAGATCTCGGCTTCTTGCTTGCGACGACGGATGCTACCGAGACGCCTCTTGATTGCACCGCCGACGCTCCTGCCAGTGGTGTTGCTGCGGCCGATGCCAGAGGCTTCAGCGTCGGTAGCGGCGGAAGGGACGATGCCGGGTGCTTCGGCATGGCCAACGCTGCGAGTGCGAGAGCTGCGGGTGGTCATCTCTGTGCCGCTGTCGCCGAAGCGCTTGTGGTCCTTCAGGGCCTTCTCGATGGAGTAGGAAGGCTCGCCCTTGCCCTTGAGATCGTCTGGGTGGTATTCCTGCGATGTGTTAGCGAAGTTCAGCCGAAGGATGGTTGGAGAACATACAACACCAGGCCAACGACGGTAGTCAGCTCCAGGCTCTCGCATCAGGTCAGCACCCTCTTCATAATTGAGTACTCTTCCGAAACGATCAGCCATGCCAGGTGGTACGATGGCGACTCCCTCCAAGGGACGATGCCTCTGTACAGAGTCGACGATGTTCTCCCGTGGAGTAGCCCTCAAGGCCTCCTCGTTCGAATCCTTGACCGCCGCGAGGGGACTATATTTTTCGACGCGGTTGCGAGCGAGACTAGCAGCATCGTACGGGCCCTCGTGGTGGTACCGACCGAAAGGTGCCTTGTCGAGACGGTCGATGACGTCGGCGCCTTGGAAGTTCTTTTTCCTAAGATGGGGAGCACGGTGAGCAACTTTCTCATCATGACGCAATTGGTCAAGAGGCCTGTGTGACTTGTCACCGGGATAGCGCTCTCTCAATGAGCCTGAGCGGTCGCGCGTAACTCCGCTCTTCTTCATGGATGCAGGGGCATTTTCGCTGGATCGTCGGGGCCGGCTTCCGTTCATGGGTCCGAAGATTTCCGCGCGGTGGTTGTCGGAGAAATGGGCACGTCTGGGGCTGGCAGAGGCAGGAGGGGATGGGTAATCATACCTCCTACTCTGCGGTGTAGTCTGCCCAACTTGCGATACTGAAGCCGAAGCGCCCTTTGCCTCGGATGAAGCCCGGGAACGGCGGAATGGGTTGGTCTCGACGGAACTGCCGGTGTTTTGGACACTGACGGTTGGGTGGCCTTTGGCGTCTCCAGCGGATCCGGGTGGTGTGATGGGTGCTGCGGGAGCATATGTGGAGCGGAAGTGGCTGTTGAGGCCAGTCTCGTCGCTTGGGTCTGGTTCGATCAGAGGATCGATCAACGCATGATGGGCCTGCTAAGTCAGCTTCAATGTCTGAAGATGATATATCGCGCTGGATGAGTCGTGCCGGCGCACGTGGGAGGCACAGTAGATGGGCCAACCAGGTGCCCGGAACAAACGAAAGATGAATACTTACTGCGTCCATTGCCATGATGGTAGGTTTGTGTGCTAGTGTTTGATAGTTGGCGAACTTGGGAAGGTTGAGTAGTTGTAGTGTTGGAGATTAGTGGTCAGACGAGTGTCAGGTGCTAGATGGATACGAGAGGAAAGAACAGGTGACGGGAGGGAGAGCGAACTACATAAAGGCCTGACTTGGCAGGTACCGTGGACGCGTACATCATCGGTTCGCAGTCGCGGCCCTGCGTCAGATTTCTTCTTGTCCGCTCTTGGAGAAAAGAGCGGCCCAATCGCTGCCATACGTCATGCGGATGCGCTAGGCTGCAAGTGGGTCCGCCGCTTGGTCCTCTCCACGAGTGACGACAGCTACGATGATCCCTCACCATCACGATCCAGCCCGCCATGTCGCTGGTCGATTATCCAGATTCCGCCTCGGATGATGATGATAAGAGCCTCGATGCCTCTGCCCAGACGGCACAATCTGCCGCCAAACCTACATCGAAGCGCAAGCACAGCGCCTCTGGGGATGCCCTGCCACCGCTTCCGCCAGCCTTTCACGACCTCTACGCGACAAATGCGCGCGTCAGCACTAGCGACAACCCAAGCCTACACGGTGGACGAAAACGGGCTGTACCTCACATCGAGGGCAAGTGGCCTAGTCATGTTTACTTAGAGTGTAAGGATACCCAGAAATATGCACCGCCAATATGGACGACAGACTAACGCGTTCGAGGGACACCTACACAGCCTGAGTCTGATGCTCTACACAGCCTACTGCAGCATGTGAGAGATACTATTGATCTTGAAAATGCCAAGCGAACGAAGAAACTGCCTGTACCAGAGATCATACCATCTCTTCAGTCAGAACTGGGTGCGTCGCTACCTCTTCATGTGTCGTTGTCGCGGACCCTGCAGATCAACACCGACAGCAGAGAACCTTTTCTGGAATCATTAAGTGTTGCTGTGAGGCGATCCGCAGTGCGCGCTTTCAATTTTGAGTTTCAGAACTTGAAGTGGGTGTCCAACTTTGAGCGCAATCGATGGTTTCTAGTCCTGGGCATTAAGAAGTCCGCGCTCAACGAACTTAACCGCCTGCTACAAGCATGCAACGACGCGACCCAATACAGCGGTCATCCAGGTCTGTATACAGGCGGAGTGGGAGACGGTCCGAAGGAGAGCCATGACTCTAACGACGGTCCGAAGCGGAGGAAGGTCGACAAGAATGAGCCTCAAAGCCATGATTATTCGCAATATTTCCACGTCAGCATTGCTTGGAACCTGGCTGAGCCTGACCCTGAGTGGGTTGCTCTGGTCCAGGATATCGACACCAGTAAGTTCATTCAGGCGCCTGAGGCTCCTTTTGATGCTGTCAAAGTGAGGATTGGAAACACAGTCCATAATATTGCCCTGGCTAGCAAGAGAGCCGGTCTGGGGAGGGTCGGAGAAGGGCTGGGTTTGGCATGATCATCGCATTGCGATGACGTGCCGGGTTCTGGATTCGCAAGCTGGCCAGGGTCTTATCTCCTGTTGGGTGTCAGGAATTATGGACCCGGCAGCACGTTCCAACAACAACACGGCACACACGAACAGATTTCTCACGTGCGCACAACTCTGAGCATGGAGGTCTTCAATCAGGAACCGCCTCATTCGGCGACTGGGTCTTGGATGCGATATAGGAAATCACTTCGGACCGTAGAATACTTTTAGACTGACGTAGGTAATTGCGGACAGCGATCGCGCAGTACAGGAAAAAGCAACTCAATCAGATCCCAACACATGGAACTCGTACCAGTTCTTTTCGACGAAGAAGAACAATGGCATCATGTGATTGCTCCTTCCGCATCTCGTTCCAACGGCTTGCGGCCCCAGGCACAGCATTCACCGGACATCACTTGGCTCAAAGCTTGACGCAGATAAGGCGTGTTGCGACATGTAACCTTATTTGCTCTCAGTAAGCACTAAATTGGCTGGACTCACGCGACCGTCGAGCCACGTTGATCTCGAACGACCTTCATGCACATGTGAGTTATACATTTCCAGGCCCTCTGGAACAGCCCGTCAATTGATGGCGGAGGGAATGGCATCTCGAAGGTCATTCCCAGTCTCTGAAGTCATGTCTGTGGCGGCTGGCTTTCGAGGCGCAAACTTTCGGCACTTCGTGCAGTTTCGGGCCCGACGCGTCAAACTCGCGCTGTGCACACATTCGCGACCCGAAGGTCCACGCGAGGACGAGACACGTGACACTTGAACCAGGCAGCAGAACATGTGTAGATGTATATATCGCGAGGTTTGGAGGTGTGATATCAGTTATATTGGATCTTGATTCACGAAGCTCCAGTTGTACTACTTTCCGCTTTGCTCACGCCCTGCATTTACCATCGAAGAACTTGTCGTCGCCAGAGAACCGTGAACATCTATCCAAGTCCATCAAGACACCAGTCAGCGACTTGCAACCCCCTTGGATAGCCATGGGATCAATCATGAAACCCTTTCGACCCAAGATTGGCCTAGTTGGCGCTGGCCCTGCCTCTCTAACCCTCGCCAACATCCTTCAGAAGCACTCTATCCCCTTCATCATCTTCGAGTCCGCGTCAGAACTCCGCACGCAAGGCGGCTCTCTGGACCTCCACCCAGAATCCGGTCAGCTCGCCATCAAAGAAGCAGGGCTATGGGAACCGTTCGCCAAACATGCACGTCCAGAGAGCGACTGCATGAAGGTTGTGACTTTGGACGGAGAGGTACTCTGGGATGAGAATGGCGCTGACAAGCAAGACATCAAAGAAGATGAGAAGTTTGAGGGAAGGCCTGAGATCGATCGAATGGCGTTGGCGACACTGATGTTCGAGAACCTGGAGGAGGGGTCCGTACAATTCGAAAAGAAGTTGAAAGAAGTTGTGCCCTGTGATGAAGGAGAGGGGAAATACGATCTGCACTTCTCAGACGGCACGAAAGAGTCCGGATTCGATCTTGTGGTCGGGGGAGATGGCGCGTGGTCCAAGGTTCGCAAACTTCTCACCGACCAAATGCCACAGTACTCAGGTATAGCTTCTATCGCAGTGTCGTGCAAAGACATCGAGGCCGATCCCTGGCTGCTTGATTACGTCGGCTCGGGCTCGATGTTCGCTTTTGGGGAGGGTTGCGCGGTGCAGTCACAACGGCAAGGTGACGGTAGCCTAGGGACGTACGCCAGCGTGCATGCACCAGAGGATTTCCTGCAGACCTGTGGCATCGATTGGGACAACAAAGCGACGGCGCGCAACACTTTTGTCGACCGCTTCCTCTCTCATATCCACGATGATCTCAAGCGTGTCATCCTGTCCTCTGATGAAGACAGTCTCATTCCTCGTAAACTTTACGAGCTGCCAGTTGGATTTCGCTGGCCATCTCGCTCAGGCGTTACGCTTATCGGCGACGCTGCGCATGTCTTCACACCGTTTGCTGGGCTAGGAGTTAACACGGGCATGAAAGACGCGTTGGTCTTGGGCAAGGAGATTGTCAAAGTGTGCCGTGGAGAGAAATCTCTGGATGCTGCTGTCAAGGACTACGAGGAGGAAATGTTTCCACGGTCCACAAAGGCGGCAGTCAAAACGGTAAAGGGGAAAGAGGGGCATTTCAGTCAAGATGGAGCTAGGCATTTTGCCGATATGATCAAATCGAAGTACTACAGGCAGGATGAGGTCGTTGCGAAGTAGGGAGGTGGGAGTCCAGACTCTGGGGGTGGATCAGAAGACTGGGTCGTGGATATGTTCTGGAATTAGTCCTGGAGGAATTGGATCTACATTGCGGTATTTCATGGCATAACAATACATACTCGACTCACTACATTGTTTAAGTTGTATGCAAATCGTTAAGTGTATAATGTGACCATCCTTGGGTTGTAAGTTGAGGACCGGTGGAAGCCGTAGGAATACCAACGATGCGACGAATGCTGGAGCTTACTTGCTACATATTCTAGCTTGAATGATCGCTAATCGGCGAACGACTGCCTATAGCTATGGGACAGAAGGCTCTGTCAGCGCGGGTACAGAGTGGTCGCCTGACCTCTTGTTCGGTCGCTCGGCACCGAGTTATGTAGCCAGTGCCGACCAGGCACCAAGGCTCTCAGCGCTTAGTACAACTGAATACGCGCCATTGTAATTGCGATGGATCGCCGCTCGCAAAGTTGACAGACAAACCGTATTCAGGCGCACGAAAAAACCCACTTGCCCACATCTATGTTTAGCAGCTCGCGGGTGTCTGTCTGCCGAAGAACGCGGCATCGTGAAGCGGAGAGTTTAGTGATGCCCATCAATAGCGGTGGGTGCGGTAATAACGCGCCGGCCAGTCTTGAGTCGTGAGAAGAAAGGGGCACGCACCAACATCCAGCACCGCCTGAACTTCCACCCCAACCCTTCAATGGGCTTTCGGCCAATTAAAGAACGCCCGGTAGGTAGAACCCTGCACAAGTCGTTCTGTACCTGCATGGTGGCGCAAGCTGTGCCCTTGCTCTACTACGAGCTGCACAAAGATTAGCCGTTCGCGATTGCTACTTGTGATTGCTGATATGCGCGTTGCCGTGGATTTGATGAGGATGGAACCATCCGATGGGTCCTAATTAGCGACACGAGGAGGGTCTTACCAAAACGGTTATCGGGCACATGGCAGCTAAGAGAAATGCGACAAGTGGCTATGCTGCGATAGAGTTCACTCGTTCCCCGGCGGAGTTGGCGCGAAGACTTGGTGTGGTGTTTGTTGCCGTGACGCTCTCTCCTGCGCGGGAGGGTTGCTCAGGGTGAAAGTAGGCTAGCCCCATCCCGACCTAGACTGGACCCACCCTCGACCTAACACGACAATTATACCCCAGACTCATTTCCGCTCGGAGCACATCACGATCTCAATAGAGCCGTAGGATGCCGCCCATGCCGTTCTTGTACAACAATGATCACGCCAATTTCCAGGACCCCTAACCTAACGCCTTAGAGGCAGTTCTCCACCAACTGGTGCTCACAGGCCATGGCACATAGGTCAAAACCGCTGTGTTCCCCAAGGTTTCCTTCTTTTTCTCACTACGCAAGGCTTTCAAGTTACGCATCACCAGCCTCGTTGACAAGCACCCTTGGCCTTTGTGCCCCGTCACTCATTACACACTTTACTTAATATTACCCGCTTCACTCGCTCAGCGGACGATCACCACTACCCCTAGCCACCCCAAACCACGTAAACAAGTTCAAGATGCGTTACTCTTACGTTGCAGCTGCCCTCGTTGGGTCTGCTGTTGCCGCGCAGCACAAGGCTCATGCTGGATTCCACATGCGCCGTGGAGCTTACGCTCCCGAGGAGGTTTGCACGGTCTACACCACCGTCTACGAAACCGCAAGTATGTGAAACCCATGTCAGAAGGAGCCATGAACGAAGGAGAACAGTCATAGCTATTGTCTTGCAGCGACTAACACGATTCAGTGCCCTCCATGGCTCCCAACTCCACCATGCCCGCCGTCCCAACTTCCGTCCATGCGGAGACCGCCTCCACCTCCTGCACTGAGGAGGGAAAGACTTCCATGTACACTCCCGTTGTTCCGGCTCCCTCCAGCCCGGCTCCCGTAGTACCCGGATCTTCTATGCCCGGCTACCCTGCGGTTCCCGAGTCCAGCAAGCCTGCGGTCCCTGAGTCCAGCATGCCTGCGATGCCCGAGTCTTCCAAGCCCGCCTACCCTGAGGTGCCCATGTCCTCTACACCTGCGTACCCCGCAGTTCCCGAGTCCTCCAAGCCAGCAGTTCCCGCTGTCCCGGAGTCTTCCACCACTTGCACTGAGGAGGAGGGCATGACTTCCTCCATGGAGGCCCCAAAGCCCACTGGCCCGGCTCCCGTCCCAGAGCACTCCACCCCAGCTGTCCCCGCTGTCCCGGAGACCTCCACCACCTGCACTGAGGAGGAGGGAAAGCCCACTGGCCCTGCCCCGGTCCCAGAGAACTCTAAGCCCGCCTACCCCTCTGTCCCTGAGGTCACTAAGCCCGCTGTCCCTGAGGTTCCCGAGACCACCAAGCCCGCGGTCCCTGAGGTCCCTGCTCCCTCCAAGCCGGCTTACCCCACCGTTCCTGAGGTCTCCAAGCCCGCTGTTCCTGAGGTTCCCGAGGCGTCCAAGCCTGCCTACACCCCTGAGGTCCCTGCTTCCTCCAAGGAGGCTGAGAAGCCCAAGCCCACTCCCAGCGCCACCCACGGCTCTGACAAGCCCAAGCCCACCGGCAGCTACAACAACGGTGAGCACATCAAGACCAACGGCGACAAGTGGGCCATTACCTACACTCCCTACGCCAACGACGGTAACTGCAGGACCGCCGACGAGATCGCTGCCGACATCAAGAAGATCTCTGAGCTCGGTTTCACCACCATCCGCTCATACAGCACTGACTGCGGTGTCTTCGAGCACGTTGTCCCTGAGTGCACCAAGTACGGACTCAAGGTCATCTACGGCATCTTCCTCGAGGCCGGTGGCAAGGCTGGAAAGGGTCCCTTCTCCAGCTACGCCAACGACCAGTTGAACGACATCAAGGAGAACGCCCCCAAGGACTCTGTCGCGATGGTCATTGTTGGAAACGAGTGCGTCTTCAACGGTAACTGCGAGGTCAGCGAGCTTGGTTCCTACCTCGACTACGTCCGTGATGAGCTCCGTGGCGCCGGCTTCCCCTCTGACATCGCCATCACCACCACCGAGACTGTTGGCTCGTGGGAGACCATTGGTGATGCTCTCTGCTCCCACATCGACATCTTCACCGTCCAGATCCACCCCTACTTCACCCAGTCCGTCACCGCTGACATGGCTGGTGACTTCGCTGCTCAGCAACTCGAGCAAGCCGCCAAGGTCTGCCCCGAGGCCGCTGCCAAGGGCAAGTTCATCACTGAGATCGGCTGGCCCAGCGCTGGTACCTCCAACGGCAAGGCTGTTGCCGGTGTCCAGGAGCAGAAGACTGCCATGAAGAAGATTCTCGAGAGCGTCGGTCCCGAGTCCTGCGTTTTCTCCTTCGCCAACGACGGCTGGAAGGCGCCCGGTGACCTCAACGTCGAGCAGAACTTTGGCTGCGTCGACGCCCTCCTCGACGGACTTAACATCTCCATCGATGTCTCTTTGTAGAGTCCCTATGATGTAGCCCGTAGCTCTTTTGTCAATCACGTTTAGCTACGTTATGCGTTCACGTCTTGCATCTGTCTTCATTCTGACCATACTATGTTTACTGCAAGTCGATAGCGAAGGTGGCTTGGAGGTAGTTTTTAGTGTTTAATCTATTTGCAAACAAATAGCAATATCCCGTTCAAACAAGCTTTGGTATGTGCACAATGTTCCCGGTCGTGAAATCGCTCATGTTTTGGGTCGGTGGAGGTTGCTAATCTTCTCGGTGGGACGCAATTTAGACGTCACATGCCAGGCATGGATCCTGCGACAATGCCGGAGATCAGGCGGTGGGAATCCCACTGTCGTAGTTAGACATGGAAGAGCAGGCATGTCGCGATACCAGGTATGTTACCAACAGCATTGTTCACAAGAAGACAGTTAGTAGACCGTTTGCGGGGTTGCTGTGCCGCATGAGCACAGACCTAGGCGCCTTCTGATGCGCATGCGTTGAGATCTCTGTATCTGAACCAGACTTTCCACGAATAGACATCTGTCTCATCAACCATCTCCTCCGCGTGTATATTCCGTAGATATTCCAGAGGCAGTTAATCGCGCAGCCACCGCTATCGACACTGCATGCGAATATCCGAGCATCGACAACTTCATCGACGTCGTCAGCGTCATCAACAATGGCAACCACCACCCCGGGCTTCCTCAGGCTACCACTCGAAATCCGCCAGCAGATATACCACTATCTTCTCGCGCAAAGTTTCCAGAGTCGAACGATCAATATAAGCGTCCGACAGCGACACGGTGGCTATAAACTGCAAGGGCTCGAAAGCATTCAAGGCCTTGTATTCGTCAGCCGCATCTTCCATGACGAGCTTCTCAACTATTGCTTTAGCCGATTCAACTTCTTCCTCCACAACGGCTCAGATTCCATACGCTGGGTGGCACGAGAATTCTATCGCCAAATCGGAGTCGAGAACAGGAAGCTCGTTAAATACATCACTATTCCCAGCTTCAGTATCGATCTTGTAATGATGAATCCAGACAATATGGTTACGGTCTTCGCCGTTCACAAAGCTTTCTGCCTGGAGCTTCTGGATGATATGCAGCGTGTTTTTGCCCTTCTGGCACGCTTCCCAGCATTGGAAGAACTCGATCTGGGTATTGACAGTCTGGAGGCAGTGCGTCTGACTGATCGCATGCATTGCAAGATACCACCGCCGTCTACGTCGAGAGCTGATTTGAGAAGAGAGCGTGGATTGATGTACGCGACTGATATCAGGGACGCTCTGCAAGAAGCAAGGTTTCTACCGGCAAGGGTGACTATCGGTATCTGGTGGACGACGATAGGTCATGATAGAACTGAACTAAGAACGGATGAGGAAATTCGGCAAGACCAGGAAGACTTTCTGCATCGAGTACGAGAAGACATTACGCCTGTCCGAGTAATACGTAAAGGCGTCATGTAAATAACGAGCAGCTCTGGAAGTCTTTGATACAGTCTGGTCCTCGTAATTTATACACTGAAATTGAACATAGGACAGAGCCGTAGCCTTGAACACCAGGGGCCCGTTTCTTCTACTTCTGGTATTCCTCGCACGTGAACTGAATTATAAACGAACGCTCAAGAAATAAAGCCGGATACCTAGCTACCCCCAAACGCTATTATCAGCACATGTGAACGAGCCTTCGACAGGAACGAGAGGATCATGGTACGCAGCTATGAGCTGCTCAATTGAAGCCCACAAACCGACACCATTCGCAAACAGAGTCAAGGCGATGATCGTCCAATTCAGAGTGGCTAAACACGTCTTCTTCCAACCGTGGAACTGAACGTCCCAGTTGAGATACAGCCACATGACTCCCGATATCCCAAAGGTAAACCAAGAGACGAAGAGCGCGGCCGACACCGAAAGGATGGAATGGAAGAGTGGTATGGCGTTTGCGAGAAGGAAGACAAGGGTCCAGAAATTGGTGCCAATACCGAGCCACATTATCCAGGTCTGCCTGGTGTTTTGGCGGTACTCGCGCTCTCTGCCCATGAAGCGTAACCACTCGATGAACATGTATCTAATCGATGTATGGCCAAACACCAGCGATGTTCCAAGTAGCGTAGGTAGGAGAAGACCATACGCGATCTTAGCTATCATCATAGGTGCTGCGCCGAGCGCTGGACTGGTTGTGTATTCTCCAGCCAATACATAGACGACTATTCCAACGATCGTGTACATGGGAATTGCGAAGCCCTGCAGAACGAACACCGAAGGCATGAAGTCCTTTGATGGGTCTTGCATCTCCGCCATCACTGTAACGAATGCTTGGTTGCCGGCATACGCGAAAGCGATGTTGAGAACGGAGGTAAAACCTTGCGCAAAGGTAGGATGACCAACTAGCACGATCTCTTTCTCCCATCCTGGTGGCGCACCGTTAGGTCCAGCGATACCAAGTGCAACCACAACGATGATAGTTGCAGCAAGAATTGAGATAGTGCAAGGGACTGCGACACATTAGCGTTTCTCAGGACAAACCAGGAGCTAGACTTACTGCCAAAATCCGCCAGAAACTTCATGCGTCTGGGCATACACAGAACGCAAGAAACGATAGTGGGGATCAGAATAAACAAGATGGTGCACATGGCATGCTCCGAGATGCTGTTAAGCGCGATGCTCATTGTGATGACGGCGGATGAGCAAGCAAAGAGCTGATTGAGTACGAAGCCAATGCCTACAACAGTAGCCAGAGGGGTACCGCCGATAATTCTGAAACAGTCGACGCAACTCAAGACTGAAGGATATCTCCTGAAGAACTGGAGCAGGACATATGCTGTATACATGACCGTGATGCCTACCAGAACTCGTGTTAACAAATAGCTTATAGCGTCCGTTCTTCTGGTCTCTAACATACCTAGCCCGATAATGCAGATGATTCCTGGGATTAATCCGAGAGTTTGCAATGCCGCAGGCAGACCCAATATACCTACGCCCACCTGATTCGTGATGTAGATCAGCGACGCCTGCCATTTGTTGAGCTTCCTGTCTGGACTAGCTTGTCCTGCAATTTCGAGGATGTCAATTCGTTCACCCTTGTTGCTGCTCTCGCCGGCCTTCTCGCTATCGTGCGGTGGTAACGTGGCGGCCTGGGGTACTCCAGCATGTGCCATGTCACAACTGTCATTCTGATCGCGGTGTCCGTTTTCGATCGTCTCGCATTGGTCGCGCATAGTTGACCCTGATATCAACATGTTGCCTCGCTTTTCGTAGAACGGATAGATAGATGTAATGAGAGAAGCGGAGAGAAGGCTGGTGGGCGATGACAGCAAACCATGGCGGTCACGGTATCACGGCAAGCGTCGTTGATGAGCATGTTCAGATGCAGGGCAGATACGGAGCCAGAAACGCAGTGCATTTAACGAGAGACACTATTCTGTTGTTACCTCAAAGTCCGGTGTTGTATCTGCCAGGTGCGCCAGATTGTCTATCGACGGCGGACGCGACGTGGTAGTACATCTCTGTATATGAGGCCTGTAAAGTATCATCACAGGTAGCTGAAAGATCCTCTAGTCTTTTTGGAGGTTGATGTTGATGTGATAATGGGAATGGGTGGTAGAGTCCCCCGGGGCCGTCGGTTCGGGCTATATTGCAGGGTTCGGTGACGTCACGCCAGTCGCGGAATGGGGAAGCCGACGCAACACCATCAACTCAGTGCACTTTTCTTTCAATCTCAACAGTAGTACACATTTGTATGAATCTATTCATAACGATATCGAGGTTCCAGTCGCCTTGCTTTTCGCGTTGAGATTGTCAGAAATTCGCACACCTGGGCAGCCTCCGTGCCAAACTGTAGCCAAAGGCTCGCCTTCCCTCTCTGCCATACACACTTATGGTTGTCGCATGGGTCCGGGAGACCATAGCTGTAGGTATCTCTCTTTACACCCAGTGATTAGGCTGTTCAATCGGGCTGACAGCGTCAAATCGAGTTACAGGCTCTGAAGGTACGATGGAGATTGGCTGATGTTCCACAGCCTCATTACCAGAGCTTTCGGATATGTGGTCGAAATTCTCAGCGCCGGTCGTCTCTTCTGAAGTCGAGCTTGTGGTATCACTGATGTAAGCAGTCGACATCTTCGCCCCGTCCGCCAAACATGGACGGCCAGTTTGATTGTCGCGAAGTGACCACGCCATGCCTCCAGTAACGGTATGCTGAACTCCAACAAGAACCAGCGGCAGTCCATCCCTGTCGTTCTCTTGGAACAACTCCTTGTCAGACTTGACGATGCGGTTCTCGGAGTTCCTCTCGAAGAGAGCAGCCGCTAATCCGGGAACACCAAGCCGCGTCCTGACTTGATGAACGTCCTGATCTGCTGCCATCCAAGCCATGACGGCGAGGCCAATTCCAAGGGCGGCGAAGAACAAATTTGCCAAAACGAGCAGCCAGACAGCAGCGACAGGCGCTCTAGTCATAATCTTCCTGGCTCTTGTCTGCACTAGAATACTGTCTGCCGGCACCGTATGCACGACTAAAGGAAGGGTGAAAATGGTGCTCATCCCAAGTTCCAAGTCTGAGATCCACTGTTTCAAAGATTTTGGAGGATTGGCTTGCCGCGCAACGCTGTATTTTAATTCTGCCATTTGTCCTGTGCTGTCGAGAGAGGGGAGAATTGAGATACCCGCAACAGTAGAGTTACTCTCATGGGCATCCAACTTTTTGATTGCACCACCAGTAGCACTGTATGTGACATTGTAGACTGGAAAGACCTATTAGATGAAGAACAACGACCGTACAGCGTTCTTTGGTAGCGGTTACTCACCTGTTGTGTTGCATGCAACGACCATTACCCAACCTCCATACGCGGGCTCCATCAGCCAGGCCTTGCCAATCATGTCTCTTGGTAATCCGTTCAAATTGACGTCTAAATCCAGACCAACGGCTGCGGTCCATCTCCACGTGCTTGGGAACATCTGAGCACTATCCTGTTTTGTTACGTTTGGTATAATGAATCTGGCCTCGTTCTTAGGGGTAAAATCGATCCCTTCCATCCTACTAAATGACCCGCGTTCGTATAAGTGCTTGTGGAAATCAAAGAAAATGTATGAGATCGAGTTGCCAATGTAGCTCCCTGAGAAATCGATCGGCGAGCCGCGAGCAATGGAGCAGTCGAAGGGCACTAGTTTTGTTCCAAGGTCAGTAGTTACATTCGAGTTCACCTGGATATCGCAGGCGGTAGCAGGTATAGGCGCACACTGGGACGAAATGGCGTACGATGTCGCCTGCCAGTCTGTTTCGGAGGGCGATATTGTTGGACCAACAACCGCGTATTGGCTTCCAGTCTCCTCAGTAAAATTCATAATGCCTTTCCCATAGCCTTCATCTAACATTGCGATAAATTCGGTCTTATTTGTAAGTTTCACCCCAGTCTCGTCAACCGTCGTACTGCAACCCCAGAAGTTTTTGTTCTGCTTGGTACCGAAGGTTTCGCTATCATCAAAGCACCAGGGATCAATGCTCCTACCGTACTGATGCTGAGCAGAATCTTGAGGGAAGACCTGAACTAAGTCTATTGCTTCGGTCGCTATATGGAGATAGCCGTCTGCTGCATGCACAAGAACACTGGGAAGCTTAGTACGGACTTGAGTCTAATGATGCACATACGTACCTCGCGAGTACAGCTAGACATAGAACGAACATTGATGCTCGTAGTACTGTTGGTTTCGTAGCTCGCCCGAGTGATTCGCTTTTCGTGCCGCGCCGAGAGGACCACCGTCGCCATGGCCGGGATAGTTCCCACAGAGACAGGTAATCCGCATCCAGAAGTCGGACTACAAGGCTAGTCTCATAAGATGTAGGAAGGCATCTGCTCTGGTCCTGCGACACGGACGCTTCCGTAAGCCGGCGCGCGGCGCAATACGCGTAAATCGACATAAGGGCGCTCACGAGAGCAAAGCTAATGGTGGATGACCAAGAAGATACGAAAACGAGCCGAGTAGCCGGAAAGTCGACGTAGTAGTGAGACGCCTTGGTGACATTGATAAGCGGAGACTGTGGGCATATCTCGTTATAGGGACAGTCTAGATCACTTGCTAGATTGTGAAAGACTAGCACAAGGATCACGACGGTGAACGTGATCATCGGAACGACAACGATGGAAGAAGCCAAGAGAATGTGTTTCGTATGGGGTTGTAAAGTGAATGAAGGCATGTTGATGAGGGTAACCGTTCAGGCAAGATGACTCCGAGTGGCTTTGGTCTCTCTAAGGAATAAGAGAGTTCTACTGATTTTATGCAGCGAAAAAAAACAGAGTAATTTATCTTGAGAGAACAGGTCTGTGCCGCTGTGCTGGAGAAGGAAAAAGCCCCGATGTGGCACGGTTCGACTTCGCCTTGCCAAACTTGACTTGATCGACACCTGGGCACAATTCATGTGAGGCCAACCGACCGCAACCAAAGAAGCATAGCCATGTGATATCGTTGACCAATGGAGCGCGGAGCCGTTCATAATTCCATATTTGAGGTCGTGCCACAGTTGACACGCGGGGGCTGCGCGCTTCGTTATCGAGCAACAAGCTGTGCCTCAGGCATGTGAGAGTGGCGCAGCACACTTTCCATGTAGGTATATTCTAGCTATATCAAGGCAGCCCTAGAAACCTTTCTTCTGGAACGTTGGCCAGTATTCTTTCGGCTTCAAGATGAAGGGGGCGAAGGCGGTAGCCAGTAGCGACCTTGGAAATTGTTGAGGCGCAGATTAGAATTGGGCTATGCCTTCAAGACTACACTGGTGATTGTCAGCCCCCACAACTCTGCGATGCCGTGAAACGATACTATCGCTCCTGTGAGATGATATGTTGAAAGGTCTAGCCAAGAGTGAGAACGCACGTCCAAGGGTTTTGGGGGCCGCTTCTCCCCCGAGCAATATCGCGACAGTTAGCATAGGAGTTAGGGGTCGAGATCGAATAGCAAGCAGAATGAATAGAGTGCGTCTTTAACTCAGACTTCTGTCTAGTACTGGTTCGGGCTGGTCATTAAGATTGTGCTTTGGTATACGGTATGATTGCGATGGTTTTGATGTTGTTCGCTGGGGTCTGGTGACGTCATGCTCGTTGCGGTTACGGAATGGGGAAGCCGTCGCAACATGATCGATCTCGTGCACTTTCCCTTCGTTTTCAACGGCAATAGACACCTGAACTCATGATTCCGATCGTGGAACTACCAAGCTGTGACTTTCTCACGACTGAATCCGAGCGTCACGACATGCGTTTAGGAGAAGAGACAATGGGCCCAGTGTCAAGAAGACTCCACGAACAGAACCGACTTTTCGCATTGATCGTATGGAATTAGTCGTCGTACCGGAATACCTCGGAACGATTGGCCTTTCGTGACCGACTTGTACCACTCGTAATGTAGACGACGAAAGTCACCACCAATCGACGCAACCGCGATCCAAGTACCAAGACCCGCGACAGCGCACTAACCCCAATATAATCTCAACTACAATTGAGGCGTTAGCAATCATTTCTCCACGCTCAAACAACAGACACCATGATTTCATACCAATTCAATGGCGTACCTTCACTGCCTAGGCATTGCAGGTACACCGGCAAGTCTCCCAGCCCCACACACATCCTCCGCGATCTTGATACCAACCGACCGAACGAGGGCAGCATCGCTTACCCCCTGCAGCATTCAAGCAGCGATTCAGACAGTTCCTTCCCCAGTTGCGCTCACAGCCTCCGCCCTCCCAGCTGATGCGTCGGCCAGGACAAGCTTGAGCAGTGGTAGCATCAGAAACGGTTTCGATGGGGATTGCGATTGTCGCGGCCGAGACCGTGAGAAAGGTAGTGAGGAATGGAAGGAGATGCATTTTTGGGAAGTGTTCAAGTTAATGTTGGGAAGAACATTAGCAACGATTCGAAGCATGCAGGTGCTGCATTGGGGATTTATATAGATGTCCCGCATCGGCAAGAGACGAAGGTACTAAGACTTTGGCTTGATCGTGAGATGGATGCCAAGCAGCGTGTTACTCTCATGGTGGCATCTCACTTCGTAAATCTTACGGTGTGGAAACACAGGAAGTCACTCTCTAGACAGACCAGTGGCTCTGAAAAGCGGGGTTGGAAGCCACATATGACCTTCTGCAACGATTGTTACCCGTCGAGCGGCTACGGGCGTTGCAGACGTACTTTAGTTGCTAGAAATAACCAACAGGCTATCTATATGCCCTCCCAGGCTTGCCATTTCTGCTCTACACCATAGTGTCATGGCTCACCGGAACCTGGGCATTTGCTGAGGTGGTACGTTCCCTCACTTCAAATCCATCCGCGCTCCTTCCTCAAGCAACGCCATAAAGACATCAGCCCAATGAAAAAGATATGATGTAAAAGTGGTACAGACACACTGTCCAACAGCAGATATGGGGCTTGCATCGTAGACAGCCAATGCGCCATCCTTACAATGTTTTCCGCCAGCGGCACGGGGGCAGACCTCCGCTCTCTCCGCCTTCCCCTAGACTGACAGTAGCAGCAGCGCTCCGGGGCGCAAACGTCGCATTCATAGCACAGGCAGACCAGCCCGCCTGTGCCAACGAAGGTTTTAGGTCTCCGACGAGCGGGAACTTGCTGTTGACAGACACGAGTGACCACGGACATACTTGTTGTCGAAGTGGTGGCGTGTAGTAGCCGCTTGAGCACGCGAAGGGCCGGTTTCTTGCGTTCAAGGAGCGTACTCATCCAAGTATTGAAGGGTTGGACGCGGCGGGGCGTCGAGGCCTTTCATGCACTGCATTGTTGTGCTGGTCCAAGCAATGCCACCGGGAAGGAACGTAGGTAAGTAGCAAAGCGACTGCCGCGGTGTTTCCCGATGTGAACGGTGTCTGAGTACATTCTGGTGTAGAGCCAGAATTTCCAGAGGAACACTACACGAGGGTCAGAAAAGAGGGGAGAGGGGCCCTGTTTATATCTCAAGGCAACGCTCCAGCGCTAGCGACTGCCTAGTTCGCCACTTGATCGCAGTGAATGTAATTGCCTAGGAATGCAAGGGGAGTAACGCACACAGCCATAGACTGATCGTGTTATGAGATGCCTATATCGCCCTCGCGGTGCGCTTCATGCAAACGCACTCACCATGCACATGAACTCCATTAGTAGATGTGATGACAGAGGGAGGCTGATCGTGACCCGAGGCGCCTACATAGCCCTTACAGTCTCCTTTGTTGAAACGCAATCACAGTTCACATGCATCTCTTTTAGTACACATGGTGACAGACTAAGTCTATCCAACACCACTTGGAAGCCAGAAATAGAGAGAAAGTCTTCTAGAAGTGACCAGGAACGGAAAGTTGCGCCATGAATATAAAGAAGATACCTACTTAACAACGTTCTACAAATCGACCGGGTAACGTTCCCTAAGTCTCTCACCAAAGATAAAGAACAGAATCGGCGCAGGCGCAAGCAGCAAGCTCACAAACGCAAACGTGCTGATACCCCAACCGTATCCCAATTTCTCGAACAGCATCGGCGCGAAGATTGGGATAACACCTCCCACGACACTGCGAAATACAGTACCAGCAGCGATGGCACTAGCCGCATACTTCTCAAAGCTGTCGATGAAGTAGTTCTGCGTGCTGTTCAAGATCATGACCTGTCCGATACCGTAGAAGAAAGTCGCGGAGATGGATGCAAACCAGTGCGTGTGCTTCTGTACTGCCCAAGCGAACCAAAAGAGCGACATGGGGATGAAAACAGAGCCGATGTTTGCCAGTGGGAGGCGGAACTCGGGTCGCGCCTTCTCGTGGTTCTTAGCTGTGAGCGTCTTGTACACGGTGTCGATGCGTGGGACGAGGAACCAGACTGCGAAGAGGAATCCGGACCCAGGGCCTAGATACAACAATC